TTTGTGGTTGATGAGTTATAGCCGTTCAAAGGTAACCAATCACACTTGCGTTTCTTTTGTGGGCCACTGTATAATCATTGAATAAAAATTTTTTAAAAAAAATTTCCTTTAGTTCAATCCCAAAAATATCACAAAATTTTGGCCCGCATTGTATTTTTCCGGCCCGCATTATGACTTTAAATCGAGTTTGACTCAAGTACTCTTCGAGTCAAAAATTTCTTGATTCGACTTTGACTCGAGTTAAATTTTCTGACTCGAGTCCAAACTCTACTTCGGACGCATCAACGGTTTCCGTTTCCTAGTTTATTTTCTGATACTATAGGTTAATTCATCACTCTTTCGGAACTTAATCTTTTACATGATCTAAAAATTTGCTCCTGACCCCTATTCATCACCCTGCACAATTTCTGATCACGGTGCGTTTTCAATGTAACGATTATTTATTTATGTGACTCGTATCAATTTCGCGAATCAAATGATTATCATTTTTTTTTTGATCATACCATATGTCGAAAGAAAAACTTATTCCTTACTCTGATTATTTCGACGAATATCCTACTGATAGTTGGTCCTACTCAAGCTTTATACGCTACGCCTTTAACAAAAGGTTGCTTCCGCCTAACCCCGTAAAAGTCTACAAGAAGTGTCTGGATTTTATCGAGCAAAAGTACGACTCTTTGAAGCGCTCAAAGGCAATTTCACTAAAGAAATCGTTCAAGGTTAGTATGTTTTCTGTGCAAATGAGCATAACCTGTCAACAACACAACTTGGCTTTAAGCCAGGTCAATACTATACGGAGTGTCCTCGCGCCACTCTGGCATTCCTTGGCGTGTTGCTACTATTGTGCTCTATTAGACAAAGCATCGATACTATACAGAGTGCCCTCGCGCCACCCTGGGTTTCCTCGTCGCACAATAGATTGTTAATATATATTTTTTTTATTTAAACCGTTAACTAATATCCTTATCTTGCTTATTTTTTGGAGATTGGCAAAAAAATGGAAGGAGAATGGTTGGCTAGTCTTAATAAATTAGCAAAAAATGAAGAAATCGAAGAGGTGAGCTCAGGAATATGACATCAATTTTCTGGTATTCTACTCTAACGATACGAACTATTTGCATAGTACGAATATCATGCGTCGCTAAATAAAGATGTAAGGAAGGAGAAGATAATATATTCCAGCCACCTGCTAAAATCACGTAAATCCAAGCACAAAATCAACATAGAGGAAGAGACGAGAACCACCTCAACTGATCCGATAATAGATACAAAAGGCGAAGACGTATTTAATCAACCGCCATCGAAAAGAGTCAAGAATAATGATCCCGAAAAACAACGAACTCCAAAACGACAAAAATATCCTCCAGAAACTAGTGGAGAGGTATGGTATCCTGTTTTCAATGTATACTACAACAAGCCATCACGCACAATAAATTAACTTTTTCTTAGATCTGTAACAAAAGTATTAAAGAATCGGAAAGCAATTCACCAAATCACGACGAGTTTGATACATCTGATACAGTTGACGATAACGATGACGACTCTGACTATGTTTATAATTCGGAATCTTCGTCCTGTGAAGAAACAAAGGTTACAAAGTCAGCTCGTAAGTTGAATAGTGACGAAGAAAAGTATTAAAGAACTAGGGAGCAATTCACCACTTCACGACGAGTTTGTGAGAGTGATATATAATACCGACGAAGATTATTCTGATGAATCCGTTAATTACGATGACCCTAATGACCCTGATTATGTTTATAGCCCGTCTTCGTTGAATAACGACGAAGAAACACCATCTGTATCGCCAGCCAAACGGGTGTGTTGGAATTAGCACGGACATTGCAGACTATTCACGAGCTTGACCAATATATTAATACAAATAGTAAGGATACCACGGTATGTTAGCTAAGCTGTATATCCTGGCATAGAGGTTGGAACCGGTTTTATTTTCACAAACCGGTTTTAATCACTTTTTTAATTTGAGACCCGGATTTAAACCGA